AGTATTTTTATTTAAAACTGAAGCTGTGCAGTAATATAATATTTTGTTTTAAGCAGCTTGTTACATTTTCGCATTTTAGTTGGAAGAATCTCAATGGCTTATTTTTTAATATCGCACCTCAAAGAAGAAGAGATCGCCTGCGATCACCAGGAATTGAGGCCAGGCGGAGAATGGAAACCAAACGATTGTGTCCCTCATGAACGGGTAAGAATTGTCTTCTCCGCATACAGTAAATTTGGAAGTCGCCTTTACCGAAGAATATTTACCTGATTTTATGGATTTTGTCGTGTGTTGTTTGTAGAATACTTGAGTTCGTTAGAAATTCAGTTGCCAGTTATTAGCGCAGTTAGAGTGTGTACTCGTATTGTCGGAGGTTGACGATATAGTTTAGATGACTAAATGCTCCAAGCTCATTAAGCTTGTGCTGTACCCTTGCTGTGATTATTGCAGTCGGTGGAAAGAGTTTGAAAATCTGGATGATGCAAGAACAGTTGTAACCATAAGCACACGACTGTCTACGACATGGCTCGGCTATTGTGGGTGATTCCAGTGCTTGTGAACAGGTATCGAAGAGCCATCCTCTTCTGATTTACAATGTACTTCGGAACCATTGAACAGATATAAACTCAATGTTATCCAAATATTCGTGATGACATCAAGCCATCCTGGTGACGAAATTAAATATTTTTTGCGAAAAAATATATGAACACAGAAAGAGCCATTAGAAGTTCATCACTGATGAATTTAACGCCAATATCTGACCGCAACAAGGTAGCGAATACTTGTGCACTGGTTGATTGTGGCAAAACGAACGACAAGGAGCCAAGTAGCTAAATTTGCTGAAAGGAACAAATTATCTATGAACAGGTAAAAGATGGGCATGGAAGAGTCCAAACGACGTCAAGAATTAAGTCTAGTTCATCCTCAGTAACATGTATAACACATTGCAGAACGTCGCAATGTTGAGCAGATTTAATGTATGAAGTAATTACAAACTCTTCAGATGCAAAATGTGTCTGGACTCAGCTTTAGAAAAAACGAAACTGCTGACAGCAAGTTGGAAGATACTCGGCGTGGAAACGCTAAAGAAGAACCTCTCGCTATTCCAACTCAAATTACTTGATCGATTCAACGTCCTTCCTAGAATACAAGAAGATGAAAAGGGAGAAGCAGTTGGCATTAACGTAATGTGTTAAGATAT